ATTACAGGGGCAGGGAAAAAAAAATCAACACATGGAAGATCGGCGGACTTATGTAAGTCAGTGTGCAGTTCTAACTCCAAGTACTAAATGTAGGCTGGAGAATTGAGGGCAAGCTTACGATGCAAGGATTTAAACAGACTTTGAAGAATGACTTGGACTGACTTACACCTTCAGAGGAGAAAAACGCACTCCCAGCAGACAGACACATGAGGATAAACCACAGAGGCAAAAATGAAGACACTGGATTTCTTATACCAAGCTGCACCTGGCCAAGGCCTGTGGCTCCTGGAAACTTGGGGGAACAGATGAGATAAACCTATCAGTAAACAGAAAACCAAAATTCTGAGTAACTTCGTCCTCTGTTAAAAATATTTGTGGTTGGTAGCTATGCAGGTGGAACTAGCAGGGTCCTTTTACTGGGCTCCGGAGGGATGTGGGCAGGGAGTCTCACAGCGACTTCCTAGGTAGTGCAGCGGATAGAGAAGAGCTCGTCCCATTGCTGGTAGGGTCAAAACGCCAGAGCCTGACACTTGGGCCCACATAGCACAGTTTCCCAGCATAGCAACATATCTGAGTGCTGCACGCTGGAGCACACTCACCCAGAGCCACAGTCCCACGTTCACTCCTTCTTGGGCAGAGGGGGAAGACTAGTATGGGGAAGGTGGTGATCTTTCACCAAGGGCATGGCGTATGGGACAGCTCTAATGACCTGCTTGCACTTGTATCTCATTTTACTCCAACAACCTTGAACCTTCCAAGTCATCAAACTGCTATCCGCAGCCTTACAACTTATATGAAATACAAAACCAGCCATTTTCACTATGATGGCGCCCCAAGCAGAGGAGGGAGCTCCTGTCCCTCCCAATGCCAAGGCTGAAGCACAGGTTGTGAAGGCCAAGAAGGCAGCACTGAAAGGCGCCCACTGTCACAGAAAGATCTGCACACCAGAAGGTGACCCAAATACCCTCGGCAAGGAGCCCCCAGGAGAAACAATCCTGCCCGCTGGGCCATCAGCTACTGACTTGCCCCAAGTCAGTATCCTGAGCAGGCCTGAGGGACAGAGCAGGGCACCTGTATCACTGGCTCCGGATTATGATGCTTTGATTATTGCCAACCAAATGGGGATCTTCTAAACTGAGTCTATCTGACTAATCTAAACGCATGGTTTTTTACCATTAAAAAAAAAAATCACAGCAGCAGCCTATGGCATCAATATCCCATGTGGGTACCAATTCTAGCCTTGGCTGTTCCATTTCCCAACCAACTCCCTACTTACAGCAGCGGAGGATGGCCCAAAGCCTTGGGACCCTGCACCTGTGAAGGGGACCAGAAAGAAGCTCCTGGTTCTTGGGTTTGGATCAGCTCTGCTCTAGCTGCTGAGGCCATTTGGAGAGTGAACTAGCAGATGGGCAATCTCTTATTCTCTGTCTCTCTCTGTTTCTCCTCTCTCTTAAAAAAAAAAGCGGGGGGGGGGGTGCAAAGACAAATCAAAGACTGAGAGAAACATTTGTACTGCATTCAACCTCCAATTAATAATTCAAGCTACATCATAACAAAATTATAGAACAACATGAAGAAATGCAAGAGGAACTTGGCAAATAAGATGAGTGAGCCACACATGGAAAGGGAAACTTAAACAGACAATGAATACATGAAGTTCAGCCTCACTGCTATAGAAAGCAAGATGAATTAAAAATAAATTGGTTGCTATTTCTTATCTAAGAAATCAGCAGAGATCAAAAGTTTGTATTAATCACCTTTCAGTTACTACCAATTGAGCCCAGCATTAAGTCCTCACCTTGCAAGCACTGGGGTCCCAAACAGGCACCAGTTCGTATCCCAGCTGGTTCACTTCCCATCCAACTCCCTGCTTGTGGCCTGGGAAAGCAGTCGAGGATGGCCCAAAGCCTTGGGACCCTGCACCCACATGGGAGACCAGGAAGAAGCTCCTGGCTTCAGACTGGCTCAGCTCTGGCTGTTGCAGCCACTTGGGGAATAAACCAATGGATGGAAGATCTTTTTTTCTCTCTCTCCCCTTTCCTCTGTAAATCTTGCACTTGAAATAAGTAACTCCCCCCCCACACACACACACAGAGAAAAAAAAATGCCAGGCAACTTTTCATCATATTTGAACTGATATAAGTAAGAATATGAAATGAACCAAAAAATTAATTTCAGGGGAATGAATGGGTACCCGCAAAAGATGGTGTGTCGTCTTAACCAGAGCTATGGAGGAATGAAAGATAATCCCCCACACCTGCACTACTAGCCACTGTGTTCAATGTGCTTGCCTTCACTGACTGTCCAAAGTAAACTGACATGAGTAAGATTAAAAAGTTAAGACAAGTCTAGTTGAAGAATCACCATTACATAAAGAGTTGTACTTCAACCACTAGGTCAAAATCAATTCATCCTGTCTTGCTTCTTTCCAATAAACACCAGGTTAAGAGACAGTGGTTTCCAACCTCAGGCACAAATCAAGTCACAGGACAGACAAAAGGAACTGTGGATAATGCTGTCCAGTCAAGGTGCTTCCTGGAGGGCAGCTCTGGGCCACAGGCTCTGCGCAGAGGAGAGCAGGACTCCTGGATTAAATGGTGGTAAGTCACTTTCCTGAGGAGTTCAGAGTATCAGATCTCAGTAATCAAATGACAATCACCACTATCATGTATTGCAGGGGCTATTGTGTGTTAAACACATGCATCATCTCATTTAACCCCAACAACAACCCGGGAGGATAGGACTGCTGTTATGCCTGTTTAAAAAATGAGAAAAGTAGGATTCAGACACTTCGATGAGTGATGCAAGGTCACTTGGCTAGAACTGGGGTTCAAACCATCAACTTGCCAATTCCTGAGTCCAGTCTGACCTTGGCCTTCAGTTATGGTGAGAGGAACCATAACCACTTATGTCTTTGACCTTGAGTGGCTTACAAAGGTCTTATTTCCTCTGGGGCTGGCACTCTGCCTTGAACTTCCTGTATAACTGCTTATCCCACCCAAAGCAAGTAGAAGCCCACCGATGCCTGCTCACCAACTTACCCCTCCTCCCAGGCCTCCCAGGCACTCTAGCAGAAACACACACATTTGCTGTAAGGGCTTAGCCTTCACCAATTTGCTGGCAACTCACCATTAACCCAAAATAAGCTGGCATAAGTAAAATAACAGAACAAGTCTGGTTGAAGGATTATGGTCTAACAAAGGAATAAAGTGCAGGCTAAGAGCCAATCTGTTCCATCCTGCCGCTTTCTAATAAACACAGAGGGGAAAAATTAGAAACAACGTCTGGGGTAGAAAGTACCACCTGACATAACCCAGGGAGACAGTCACCACTAGCACCTTTTAAAGCAGAATGCAAACCTCCCGAGTTGGGTAGTATGGAGTTGTTAACACTTTACATGACAAACGAGACATTACAACCTTCCCTGTTTAGGACTACTCCTTGCTGCTAATGTCAGTTCAATAGAAAACTGCAAACCAACTGTGACACAAGATGCACTCGTCTTTCTAAAACAAAACCAAACCCTGGGAGAGGTAGGTATCATTTGTAGAGGCCCCGACAGGTTACCAAGACCAATCAGCCAGGTGGGCTTTGACACAGCAGTGAGGTCTTCACTAGGGAAGCCTACGTCACATGGCACAGCCCCTTATTCCAGGTATTACGATTATTCCTACCACATCTCACAGGTGGTGTGTTGGTAAAGAGCCAGCGCTTTGCACTGGAGTAAAGGAAAACTAATCTACATCAGTGGAGGTGGCTTTTGTTGTCCTCCTTTCTGGTACATTTCATCTCATTCTTCCAGATCCACATCTCATTCCCTCTATAGTGAAACCTTTCCTAACTTGGCTGAGTTGTTGTGCCCCAAATACATTTTCTTTAGTTGCTATGCTCCAAATACATTTTCTTCACAAAATTTCTTTCATCCACATTAAAATAAATACATGCTCATTACAGAATATGGAGAATATCAAAAGAAAGGAGGAGAATCCCTTGAGGCCTCACCTGCCAGTCATCACACTTGCTATGTTCAACTGGCTCCACTGTCCATGCCATGAAGCTGGTGGCTGAGCTCCTCCTGGGGTCTCAGTGCCCCCACATTTGTATCTACTTTTCCCCCCTCCTCATCTCCAGCTCTAGCCCAAAACACAGCTGCCACCAAGGAACCTAGAGGCTCAATTAGAATTTTCTTCTGATGCTAAGGAGCCAGCATCTTGGTCTAGCAAGTTAAGCTGCTGCCTACAGCATTGGCATCCCATAAGGGCACCAGTTTGAGTCCTGGCTCACTTCCAGTCCAGCTCCCTGTTAATATGCCTGCAAAAGCAGTGGAGGAGGGCACAAGTATTTGTACCCCTGCACCCACATGGAAGATCTGGAAGAAGTTCTTGACTTCAGCCTGGCCCAGCCCTGGCCATTGTAGCTATTTGAGGCGTGAACCAGCAAACAGAAAATCTCTTATCTCTCCCTCTCTCTCTTTCTATAACTCTGACTTTGAAATAACAAGTTTTTTAAAAAGTAGACACTTCAGCTTATCTTATTTATCTTCTGGGCTGTTCTGATCTTAACTAATGCTGGTTTTATTTATCTGTCTTTTTTTTTTTAAAGATTTGTTTTTAATTAGAAAGGCAGATTTACAGAGAAAGGGAGAGTCAGAGAGAATGATCTTCTGTCTGCTGGTTCACTCCCCAAATAGCCACAACAGACAACTGAGCAGATCTGAAATTAGGAGCGAGGAGCTTCTTCTGGGTTTCCCACACAGGTGTAGGATTTCAAGGCTCTGGGTCATCCTCTACTACTCTCCCAGGCCATAAGCAGGGACCTGGCTGGGAAGTGGAGCATCCGGAACACCAACTGGTATCCAAATGGGATTCCAGTGCTCAAAGGTGGAGGATTAGCCAATTGAGCCATCAGTCAGCCCCTCTGTGTTTGTCTTGAATACCTATTGCTACACTCCCATCTTAGGCAGGGCAGGCAGGACTGTCCCAGCTAGCATCCTTCCTCACCTGCATCCCTCGCATCTTCTGGAACCGTGCGATGGTGTCGCTGAGGGTGTAGACACGCACATGTCCCATGTGCAGCTTGCCAGAAGGATAAGGGAACATGGAGAGCACGTAAAACTTGGGCTTTGATTTCTAGAAGAAATGACAAGAGAGCATTCATTAAGTATTTTCTTGAAACTCTTCATGCGCTAATACTTGGCTCTTTATTCAAGGTGATAATTTAACATCTTACAGCTTTAAGAAAACAACAACTTTTTACATAATATATGTTGACAAAAAAAAAAGCATGGCTAAAATCATGCTGAACATCTTGCTGAAGTACTAGTCATTCATCTATGTCTGTAACATTTTTTTTTCCTCTTTTAAAAACCCTGGACCTGGCGTAGTGGCCTTGTGGCCAAAGTCCTTGCCTTGAATGCTCCAGGATCCCATATGGGTGCTGGTTCTAATCCTGACTACTTGACTTCCCATCCAGCTCCCTGCATGTGGCCTGGGAAAGCAGTTGAGGACAGCCCAAAGCCTTGGGACCCTGCACCCACATGGGAGACGTGGAGGAAGTTCCTGGCTCCTGGCTTTGGATCGGCGCAGCACCGGCCGTTGCAGTCACTTGGGGAGTGAACCATCGGATGGAAGATCTTCCTGTCTCTCCACCTTTCTGTATATCTAGCTTTGCAACAAAAATAAAATAAATCTTTAAAATAAATAAATAAAAATCCTTTTCTGCATAGCATCTATCTGGGTCTTAAAGAATTAAAATTGGTTTTTCCAAAAGGGCTTCTAGCAGTTGATTAATCCACATAAACCAAAGGTACAAAAGTTGAAACACAGAAATATGTAGGAGCAGGGCCCCTTTCTGAGTTTCCTGGAGCTGGATTCAGACCTAGGATAGCAGCAGCATCCTCATCCTCAGGAGCTGGTTGGGGTCCCGAGTCCTAACCTCCCCTGTTTCACCAGCTTATCTTTTAAGAGAAAACAAATGGAAAAGGAAAGGAAACAAGATCTTAATCAACAATAGGGGGCTATTTTTTTTTCCTGGGGTGACACACAGGAAGTCTCAGACTAGGATTCCATCCCTCTCCTGCTTCCAGATAAGTGGGTTAAATGCCACGTGTATCTGGACAGATGGAGCCTAGGACACGGTGGTCGCCAACTCCTCCTGCGTCTTAGTTCTTCCACTGGTAAAGCAGCAAACGTTGTCTCAGCGTGTGTCCATGAGGGGACAAGGAGACTGGTAGTCACCAAACTGGTTCCTGTGGGGGACCTGTGGCTGCAGGCAAAGGGCTGGGCTTTAATCATCTCTCTTCCAGCTTCCCCACGCCCTGCAGGAGGCGAGTACTGTTGAAAATATGTTTAATGGCCTTTGTGCGAGCTCAGTTTTCCCAAAGTGCATTTTCCCCAGCACATTTCCCAGGCAGGGCCCAGGCAGTGGGAAGCTCCCAGCTGCACGCCCTCCTGTGCAGGGTGGGAGTAGAGGGTTTGCAGGAAGAAGAAAGAAGGAACAATGGGGAACTTTCCAGGTGGTTGCTGGGGGGGCAAACCCTCTTCTGTTAGCACTGTGTATTTCACTCATTCCTGCCTCTGGTTTTATCTTTCTGTTCTACTCCCTTTATAGAGAGTTCTTGGGGTGCTTTAAAGCTTCAGTTCCCCAAAGTATAGAAAGCAAATATAAAACAATCATTCCTAACCTTGTGATGCCCATGTAGGGAGAAAGTGTTCTTTCAGACATTTTTTTTGCTAAGTGCTTGCACAACTGAGAATGGACTCAGCCAACCGTGGGCAGGGGAGCAGGAGGAAACGGAAACCAGATTCTTGCCATTGAATGTCAGCAAAGAGGCGACACCTTTAACAAGGTCACTAAACAACTGGTGGATAAACAAAATCCAAAGTGAAATTTTTCTCTCTCCAGCTCATTCTCTAGAAAATTACAAAGGATAAGAAAACATACCTGAAGAATCCCAAGGGTAAAACAGCACAAACAAGGAGCCTGGGAGGGATCTCAGGGCTCCTCAGAAAGGTCATGGGACATGGAATTAAAAGCCACACGTACAGGGGCTGGCACTGTGGCACAGCCAGCTAAGCTGCTGCCTGTGAGGCCAGCATCTCTGGGGATGCTGGCACCAATGTGAGTCCCAGCTGCTCCACTTCCAATCCATTTCCCTATCACCTACATGGGAGACCCTGATGGCATTCTGGGACCCCAGCTTTGGCCCCAGCTAGCCCCTGCCATTGTGGCCATTTGAGGAGTAAACCAATAGATGGAAGATCTTCCTGTTTCTCTCTCTCTTTCTCTCTCTCTCTGTAACTCTGTCTTTTAAATAAAAAAACCTCAAAAAAAGTTTATTTGGGTATAACGAAGTTTTGAAACTAATGCATATGAGGGATTTTCAAGAATTCATGGAAAAGGCACATATTAGAAAAAAAATGGTGCTGGGTAGAAGGCAGCACAAGGGTCATGCACTTTGGTTGGAAACTGTAGATGCTCTTAGGCACATCTTGGGAACAGGAGAGGGGGTCCCGAGATTCGGGGAAGGTGGGACTCAGGGACCGGCTAACCCTCTCCATGTGGAGTCCTTTTCCTCCAAGTAAAAAATGAAAAATGAAATAGAAACAATAATAATAATAATAGTAATAAAAGCACTCCATTAAACCTAACTCCTTACAATGGACCAGGCTTCTCCTCAGGAATTTCTAGGACCATGGGAACACCTAACATGTTAAGAGTGTTTTGGGAGCTGGAAAAGCAGTAAAATTCTTGCCAGTAAAGTGTCTAGCTTTTCATTTTAAAGCTTGCACTTAAAACTAATTTTTATTATATAACAACCACCTTGTTTTTATTATACCAACATGTTTATTTCATTATGCTATGGTTATTACTTAATAATCTCGCCCCAAACGTTTTCCACATATAGCATTTTTTACCAGCACCCCCTTTGTTTGTGTTTGCTCAATAAAAGGTACAATTAATAGCAAAGTCAATGGACACAACATGTGGCTAAGCCAAATTCCAAGCCCAAATTATTAAAAAAAAAAAATAGGAAAGCACTGCTGGCAAAAATCTTTCCTATTCATACACAGTGCTGTTTATGGCAGAGAAGGCTGTCAGCCTACCACCTTCTGCTTTTCTGTGTGAATTAAGTCACTTTCCTCTGTGATGGTGAAATGGGCTTGATCATCTGGGGGTGGAGAAGAGAGAAGAAATTACAGGAGCTGATGCTATAATTGAGCAAGAATCTGATTGAAAGGGAAATTTTCATAATTACATAAAAGTGCACAAGGATTCAGGCCTTCAGAAGAAATTAAGATGGTAAACGACAGGGAAGGATGACTTTTCTAAGTGCATCCTATTATTTTTTGGCAGCTTCTGACTTCAGAAGACAAATGACTTCTGCCTCTTCAGGACTCATGCCCAGAAGCCGTGGCTGAGCCTGTGGATGGCAGAACAAAAAGTGAGAGTTCTGGTCCTTGCTTTGCCACCAGCTGCGAGGCCTTGGGCTAGCTCTTGTGCCTTTCTGGGCTCAGCATGCTCATCCAAAGCCAGGCAACAAAGGTCTGGAGAAAAGCTTGAGCTCAGGAATGACTCTCTACTGGTCTCAGCCCTGACTCTGCCCAAAAATTAGCTGGAATAAACCTCAGCAAGTTAGCAAACCTCCTTCTGAGCTTCCACTTTCTTCCCCCTTCCCTCCACAGGAGGATAACAATACCTGCTCCCAGGGTAGCCTCAAGATTAAGTGAGAAATGGAATTATGGTGCCTGGCACACCATGTTAAGTTCTCTCTTTTTTGGCATTGTGTAATTGCTATATTTAAAGTTCAGGCTTTGGAATTGAAGGACCAGAGCTTTCCACCCCCAAGATTCAATTTTAGAAATGTTTGATTACCCAAAAAACCACCAAAATTCTGGTCACAAACTGTGCTTGAAGAAGTATTCTGGACACTCGGAGAACTGCCGTGGCCTTGGACTTGTTGCCCTGCCTTGCAAATGAGCTCTTATAGCCTTGTACTGTGGGCTTTTGCCAGCAAAACTTAGATGAGTTCATTTGTCACTATGTTGCTGGGATCTTCATATATATATATAATATATTGTTATATAAAAATATATTTATATATATATTCCAAGAATAAATCTGTCTCTGCATGATTAAATAAAAAATCCAGAAATGCAAAAAAAAAAAAAAAAAGAAAAAAGAAATGTTTGATTAGCTGGTGAAGCCAATCACCAGCTCGATATTGTCTGATTTGGGGAAGACTTCACTCAAGTCCTCAGTGATCCAGAGGGGATCCTGACCTATGTTCTCCAGCTGTATCACACTAACATTCACCCTGGCCTTAGACAGAGACCAAACGAAGTACAACTCCTCACTTGCTTCTGCGCCCACTTGGGCAGGTATATCACCTTCACAGCACTGACTTTCTCAGTCACCCCACGCCAGCCTTGGCCACAGCGGCCTTGGGAGTAGGCCAGCCAATCGCTGGGGGCTTCTCAGGTGTACCTTAGCAGGAACTGAGGCTCTCATTCCTGTACTGCAGGGAGTTAGCAGTGCCCTTTGGGGGTTGGCCAGGGTAGGATCTTCCCAAAGCTACCCAGAGCACGTTTGTGGCCAACCATCTTGGGATCCTTCTCCAACCCTAGCAACACAAAATGCACAGTAGCAAGAGACACAAGTTCTTTTCTTAAGTGATGCTTACAGTGATGATGGCCAGACAGCCAACTTCTAAACATTCACGTGGGTGGATTTTCAAACACATCTAATTCCAGAGGGACAGCTATTATAAATGCTTTATTTAAATCAGCATTCAATCCCAATTTCTGATAAATGTGTTGAACCACTTTTTCTTACTGGACTTTCCAAACAGTTCTGTGAGGTCAATGCCACAACACAGTCTTAGAATCAGAGTTCAAAGTGTCTCTCGGGCTCACAAGCCCCCGTGGCAGCCCAGGCTCTGGCTTCCCACTGTGTGTCCTCTCCCCTTCCCCCACTATTCCCCAACCTGCAGGGGTTCCCACACAATGGCCCTTAAGCCATCACTCAATGATAGAAATTTAATTCATTCTTATCCACTTAACAGTAAGAAAAAAAAAATCACACATACAAGAATGAGATGCTACCAAATCAATCATCTACAACTTGAAAATGTCTGGAAGCCATTAAATTCTAATCCAAACCAAAACAGAAAGATGAATTTTTTTCTCCTTACTCAGAATTAAACTGCTCTGCAGTTTACTTTCAAAATACACAGAGTTGCATGAGTCTTAGATCAGCCCCGCATGAAGGCTTTTCCCTTCCTAAGGAGTTTCAAGTCAAGCTTTCATGGCAAATTTGGGCACCAACTCTTCCTTTTTATCACTTCATTTTATTTGATAGACAATATTTATCTCTTGATACTAGACTTTCTTTCTAACTGATGCCCAATGCCATCCTTCCACAGTAACACAGCTTTTCCTTCCTTTTGCCCTTCTCATAATAATCAGTCTTACATGAAGAGTTAAGGGTGATGACAATGAGAAAGATCAGATGGGCAAGGGCAATTCCAGTGAAGTCTCGTGCGGTTATGTCTCCTCAACCCCTTGCCTTGCTTCTAGCATGGTTAAACTGTGTTCCTTTAAGTTAGCTGGCTGAAACTATCACAAAAAGAATGATTTCAGCAGTGAAGAGTCAAACCTCTTTCAAAGTGCTTTGCTGGTACCCAAATATTTCAAAGAACAAATTCTACCTCCCAGTTTGTCATTCTGACTAGTGTCAAGTCTGAGACCCCCAGTAGGCGGGGCTCACAGAGAAGGAGCAGCCAGCACCCCATAGAAACTAGCTACGGTGCAGTACTTACCAGCATGAATTCAGGCAAAGCTCTGACTCAGTTCATCTGTGCGAGATGACTAAGGTCCACTGGCTCGCAGAGCTGAGACTACAAGGTTGGACTCTGCTCTCAGATCATACCAGGACAGGGTATATAAAGCCAGGATGTTGAGAGGCCGAGGTCATGCAGGGGGTGGCCAGATTCTTCTTAGACCATGTAGACCACTGCTTGCCACTCACCCTGCCAGATCCCTGTGTGCCATTTTGTCACACATTTTCTTTCACGATACACATTTCTTATGAACATTTTGAAGACTGCTTCCTTGAATGCATGGATTTCAAATGCTTTTACACCAAAATAACTTACCTTTTAATTCAACTTCCCACACACTTTGAAGTGCCCTCATATGTGGTCCATCATTCACCCAAAGCTCGTGATCTGGACTGTCTCGGAACCGAGGCAGTCCAAACCCAGATTGGAGCCCTGACTCCCTCTCCCCCTCCCTGCCAGAGCACCCCAAAACACTCACGTCAGTTTCTGGAACTCTGCAGGCCTGCTCCTTGAGTCGCTGACGCCACCACTGCTCAACCTCCTTCCTTGTCTGCAGCGTGTACTCCTTGGTCCACTTTCCCGTGGCACTGTAAATACTCCGGGTGAGGCCTAGGATTACTCTTATGTCCCACCTAATGGCATCTGGCCCATCGTTCAGCCGCCTTTTCAAGAGGCAGGCATAAAAACCCACTCTCTGCCAAGAACACGCCATTCTTCTGGAGGTGTGAGGGCCCTGAGAGAGGACAGAAAAGGCAGATTTCTGAGCTCCAGTGCTGGCCTTCCCAGGCCACACAGGCTGCCATGCCCTATCCATTCACTCCATCTCCTCTGATATATATTTTTAAAATTATTTCTTGCCCTTCAAAGAAAACTAACTCTTTCATGAAAGAGGCAGTCTGAGTACCCTGAGTCTTGGGCACAGGAACAAATGGAGATGTCTACCTGTGCCAGCTCCCACCATTCTCCCATGTTGTATGGGCAGAAATAGGGCTGCTCCTTCACTCCCACTTGGGAAAGCTAGGTTGCGTGGCCCATGTCTCAAAGCCTGGCAACCCCAAACACATGCTCACTTGATTTTTAGATTTGCATACATCAAAAGGAGCCTATTCTAAGGCTTAACAAGAGGACTAAAGGTATGCAGTACGATAAGCAATTAAAAAAAAAGTATCTAAAGGCATATTTTACAGAGAGAAGGAGAGACAAAGGATGATCTTCCATCTGCTGGCTGACTCCCCAGATAACCACAACAGCTGCAGCTGAGCCAATCTGAAGCCAGGAAGGAGTAAAGAGCTTCTTCTGGGCTCTCACGCACGGGTACATATGCCCAAGCACTTGGGCCTTCCTCTGTTGCTCTCCCGGGTCATTATGCAGGGAGCTAGATGGGAAGTAGAACATCTGTGACACAAACAAGCACCCATATGGGTGATCACAGATGGAGAATTAGTGTGCTGAGCCAAAGTGCTGGCCCCATAATTAGCAATTTTCATATAAAGTTAGATGGACTTTGGAGGGTGGGCCAGGAAACCACCAACATTTAAAAGACAGTTTATTCATTTATTCAGTTAGTTCCTCATTCATTGACGAAATATTCACTGAAGTCCTCTAGCTGGGCGTACACACCTGGGATATAGTAGTAAACAAAAACAAAGTCCCTCCCTGCTTGGCTGTTAGATATGCCCAGGGAAGCGGGCAAGAAGCACATTGATAAATGCAGTTTAGTGGATTCAACTTTCACATTGCCCTTGCTTTCTCGGTGCCTGCAATCCAGAAATGATCTCATTGAAGAAGCTTCTGGCTTTGTGGAAATGAAATTTAATCAAATACATAAAGTTTTTGGACCAAATGCCCAAAACTTCCTGTCTTCTTGTATCAGACTATGCTAATGCACAATATTAGAAAAAAAAATGACAGAAATCTTTCAAAAGACAAACAAGAAAAACAGCTGTCATTCTAAACTGGTACTAATCCTTTGATGTAAATAATTCTACTTATTTAGGGTGTGGACTGTTTCACAAAGGTGCTAGATCACAAACATTGTCAGGAAGGGTGTGCCAGGCTTACAGGAGTGGGTTTCATTTTTTCACTGACAAATTTACAACTTGATACGGCATACCAATTCTTAACTGCATTTAACACTTCTTGCTTATTCAGGGGTGGAGTCAGACTGAGAAAAACCAAAATCTCACACTAGCTGACTTGGCTATTTTAGCGTACAGATGTGACTACAGTTATCAGAACACACTGCACGACATTGGTTGACTATCAGCAGTTCTATATGACCAATTTCTATTCTCTGTATAGCTGCACAGAAGCCATGGATTTTACACTAGGTCATTTTCTGCTCGGTCAGCATTTCCATACCTTTGTAAGCCAAAGAATAGACCTGTTGAACAGAGGACAAAAGTATAAAGGTTTGACACTTCTCTTAGCATTCCCTAAGCATATTGTAAACATGGAGCCCTGCATAGTTTTCTCAAATAGAAGCAACAGAGTTAAAAAAGACAAGTTGACCAAGATTTTGGGTTCAATGCTAGTAAACTCTTGATGAAAGCACACAAGAGTGCAGACGGATGACAAATAGGAGCAATGTGAAGGATTCATTGCTCCACTTGTTCTAATCCTGTCTCCACAACTTACTTATACCATACATCAGATCATAAACTTCTGCCTACACAAAACAAGCTTTCTAAAAATGTTTACGTTGGGCCCAGCGTGGCAGCCTAGTGACTAAAGTCCTCGCCTTGCACATGCCAGGATCCCATATGGGTGCCGGTTCTAATCCCAGGAACCCCACTTCCCATCCAGCTCCCTGCCTGTGGCCTGGGAAAGCAGTCAAGGACGGCCCAAAGCCTTGGGACCCTGCACCTGCATGGGAGACCCAGAAGAAGCTCCTGGCTTCTGGTTTCAGATTGGCTCAGCTCCAGCTGTTGCAGCCAATTGTGGAATGAATTATTAGATGGAAGATCTTCCTCTCTCTTTCTGTCTCTGTATATCTAACTTTCCAATTAAAAAAAAATATTTTTTTAAAAATGTTTACATTATACCTTACTCGCTGAAAATCTCTCTGTATGAACTCATGGATTAAAAAACTCTGAAACAGAGAGAAGCATTTAAAATGATGCAAAGTTCATAAAGAAAAGCCACAAGTAGGTTAGAAAATGATAGCATATTCAATTAATAAGAAAAAATGCAAATTAGAGCCCTGCTGCAAATCATAAACCAGGTCAATTCCATACTGAACAATAAGTACTATTATATAAAAGGAAAACAGATGGCTCAAGTCCTTGGAACCCTGCCACCCAAGAGGGACACCCAGCTGGAGTCCCTAGCTGCATCCATGTGGGGACTGAACCTGTGTGGAAGGTCTCTGACTCTCCCTCTCTTAGTAACTCTTTCAAATAGTTAAATCTTTTAAAAGCATAAATGACTCCACATGAAACAAGTAAAATAAATAAAATTTAAAAAGGAAACAAAAAAGGGAACAGCACAAGAGAAAAGCCCGAGGGCATGTGGATACCTCCAGAACACAGTGCAGTAACACACCTGGGGAAATTCATTTTTTTAAAGAAACCTGCAGCCACCAATTCCCTAGGCCATCTCGGGGAACGCATTTTCTATCTGGAACCTCTTCTTACACGCTCTCTCTTATAAGATAAAGGACAAGACTGGGACGAAGGCTGCACATCTGCTGCAGCAAACACCTAGAAAAGTAAAGGACAACCTTCCACGAGGTCCAAACCTCCAGCCCAGGGAGCAGATTCAGCGAGGAACCAGCGCTGGGAGGGACGCTGAATACAAACCCAGGTGTGTGTGTGCATTATTTCTGGGCAAGGGTCCAGGGCTGTCCACGGGGTCTGTGGCTCCGGCTGAAGTCCTGGATTTCGGAGACTTTTCGGTTCGGAAATGAGAGAATCCAGGACCACTTAACCCGGATCTTCCCTTCCCGCCTCCAGCCAAGTCGAAACGTCCCGATCCAGGACCGGGGAGATCGGGCCTAGTCTCCTGTGCGGGTGAGCCCCGACTAGAGGTTTACCCACTCGCGGGCTCTGACCTGCAGCTCCTCCAAATCTCGTTTCCCACCTTTAGGTGAACACGGCCGGATAAGTCACCATGGGCGCCGCCATGTTGGCAGAACAACAACTTTATCGATCAGCGGTCGCCGCAGACACGGACAGGCAGGGGCGGAGCCATGGCAGGAGGCTGGGCGCCAGAGGAGTGAGGCGGGAGCGCCCACGCTGCTGCTGCGCTGGGCGTCGGACCCTTGCCCGGAGCCTCGCCCTGTGGCCGGGGTCTCCGGTGTGCGGCTGGCTTCCACAGGATTCTATAGACACCTGGATTTAAAAAATTAAAGTCGTGGTAGCCATGTGAGAGCTGTTCAGTATACTGCCCCCAGTTAAAGTAAGCAGCAGGTGGAGAAAGTGGCGCTGGGTAGTGCAGAATTGGAACTCCAGCCAGCGAAAGCCGTCTCCTGGGTATGTGCAGGTTTCCTGACTTGATTTTTAATGAGTCACTTGGTCTTATGCTCTTTGGAGGGGAATTACCCCGCACGATTAGGTTGGGATGAAGTGCTTTTCTCATAGGGGAGTCGGATTAAGGTGATGCCTAATTAAGCCACTTCCATGGAGGTGTTTGTGTATCCCCCACTTCGCCTGACCTTTCCAGCGCTCACACACACCCTGCGAGGCTCCCTTGCTAATAATAAATGAGGTAGTGAGTCGCAAAGGGTCATTGGTGTTAGGATATATATAATTTTTTGACTGGTAAAACCACTTTAAAGGATGTAAATAACAAATGTGGGCAATCATCCTCCCCCAGCTATTGGATTCCCTTTTCTCTCCAAGAAACGAACCAGTGTTTACCAATCTGAAAATACATGTGTGTGCCTCTATATGTATGTATATGTGTGTATGTGTGCATGTATATGGTAACGAGGACAGGGGATTGGACATAGCCTACCTGAGGCTGCACATCTTTGAGTTGATGGCAAAGCCAGGATGCCAGCCTAGGTCTCCTGATCTTTCCATCTTCAGTATAGGATGCTTAATTTGAACTGATACCATGGCAGCATAGACTGGACAAATAAACCGCCACACTTAATGCAATTTAACTTGCAGGTGTGTCACGCTGCTTCTGGACAAGGGTGCCTTGAAAAGTTCACGATGGCTAGGTGGCCAAATCCTCGCCTTACATCCGCCAGGATCCTATGTGGGCATTGGTTCATGTCCCAGCTGTTCCACTTCCCATCCAGTTCCCTGTTTATGGCTTGTGAAAGTAGTGTAGGACAGCCCAAAGCCCTGGGACCCTGTACCCACATGGGAAATCAGAAAGAGGCTCCTGGCTTCAGATTGGCTCAGCTCTGGCTGACACAGCCATTTGCGGAGTGAACCAGTGGAGAGATCTTTCTCTGCCTCTCCGCTCTGTAAATCTACCTTTCCAATAAAAATAAATATCTTTTTACAAAAAGTTTGTGGACATAATTGTTATATGAGAAAAGTTTGCATGGCTCTCAAAGTTTTTTGTACCAAAATAAACTGATTTTTTCAACTCATGTTTTCCATGAACTCTTGAAGTGCCCATTTGTATAACTTAGCCCTGTGCAACTTCTCATGTTGATCCAAAATACAGCCTCTATCTTTACTTCAGTTCAAAATCTCATTTCTCTTATGCATTAAAGTTATCATTGACATTTCTAAAAGATTATTTCAAATGGAATTTTTCTAAAAGTCACTGGCTTTCCTGAAAGTTTCTATTTTTACACCTAAGAACACAGTAGCATGAAAGTAAATCCTTTTCATCTTAAAGGGCTTAACGCTCTTTAGATATATTATTAAATGAAAGAGGCAAGTTTCAGCTGTGTAGAACATATACCAATTTTATTCCTAAGAACAGGAAATCAAAGAAGTACATTTATTAGTATATGCATGAAAGAAACGCAAAAAACTAAGTCTTAACTCATTTTCCTTGAACTCTAGGACAATGGGCCTCATAATTGTCCTATATTCCTTTTTTTTTTTTTTCCAATTACCTGAGTGGTCCTAAATAAAGGCCACAAAATATCAGGCCCTAATCCTTGGCATCTGTGTTATCTTATATGGCCAAAGAGGATGTTGTATATGTAGTTAAATTAAGAGACGTGGGAGGTTACTGTGAACCATCTGGGTGGCCTTATGGGAAGTCACAGTGTCCTGGAGAGCACTCTGAGACACAAGAAGCAGTGTGACCAGTGAAGCAAGACCCTACAGAATGGCAGAGAAGATGAAGCAAGAGACTAAGAACCAAAGAATACAAGAAGTGCCATGTAGAAGGTCGAAAAGGCAAGATGCTCCTAAATGTCCCAGCATCTCCACTTCTAGAATAGCTGACAGCAAGGCCTACAAAAGCTATTTGTACAGTCATAGCCACAGTCACATTTTTCTCAACAGCTGAAAGGTCCAAGTAGCCCATTGACAGAGGTATCCATCACCAGAGGAACTGATAAACAAAATGATAGACTCAGCCCTGGATTTCTATAGAGCCTTTAAAAAGGAAGAAATTCTGACACGTGCTGTACTTTGAGGAATCTAATGCTCAGCAATCCAAGAGCATCACCAAAGGGCATGTGGTGTTGGATTCCTCCCATTTGTGGAGACAAACGGTAAAACGGAGGTTGCCTTGAGAGTGGGATGATGGGAAGGAGGTGGGCAGTTATACGCTAAGGGTAAGAGTTTCAGTTTGGAAAAATGAACAAAGCTCTGAAGATGGTAATTTGATTGCACAACAGTATAAATATGTTTAATTATACATACATATATGATTTAAAAACTGACTGGGAGGGACAGAGAGAGAGAGAGGAAGATCCTCCATCTGTTAGTTTACACCCCCAGTGACCTCAACAGTCAAGGCTGGTCCAGGCCAAAGCCAGGAGCCCAAAACCCCATGTGGGTCTCCTATATAAATGGCAGAGTCCCAGCTACGTGGACCATCCTCTTCTGCTTTCCTGACACATGAGCAGGGAGCTAGTTTGGAAGCAGAGCAGCAGGGTCTCAAACTGGTTCTCTGATATGGGATGCCAACATCACAGGCAATGGCTGAGCTTGCCGAACCACATTGGCCCCTATATATACATTCCTAACCACAAGCCGATGTAAAGAAATCTGCCCCTCACCTATAGTCTCCCCAAGGACTGAGATTCAGTCAATACCTTGATAACAGTCCAGTAAAACCGATTTTGGATTTCTGATTTGGAGACCTAAAGGATCTCAGTAATAGATAAATGTGTAGTGTTTTAAGCCACCAGGTAGTGAATCTATATGTCAAAAAAATCATAAAAAATGTTTTGCTAGATAAAATCAATGTCCAAAACCAATTAGTTTGCATGCCTTTTAGGGTGCTATATATTAACACTCCAAACTATGCGTCTTCAGAAATAGCTTTCACATGCCGCTCTCTCACTAAAGCAGTCACATCTCCCCATACACTTCCACATCCTTTGTCTCTTGTGAGACAGGTCAGGGACAAACAAGCGACCATAAGAGGTCATTCAAGTGGAGACAGCTTTGTTTCCCATTTGAATTAAGACTCTATAGCAGCCAGGATTGGCCACTGGCCATTATAATGTTCTTTCAACATGATGCTTGCTTTAACTTTCTCAAAAATACTCCCGGTATCCCACCTTCAACTTAGCCTGCAATGAGCCCCACGTGCTAAAATTCACACTGTGTGTGGCAGTGCCTACATTATGCCCATTGGTTGGTATGACCAACAGACTAGAACAGAAAGAACGGTATAGCACTTTCTAAAAAGCAGCGTTTTGGCAATCAGACTAATCCTTTACCTCTAGTGCCAGCATCCCACATGAGTGCCAGTTCAAATCATGGCTCCTCCTCTTCCAGTCCAGCTCCATGCTTATGACCTGAGAAAGCAGTGGAGGATGGTTCAAGTCCTTGGACCCTTGCGCTCACATGGGAGACCCAAAAGAAGCTCCTGGCTCCTGAATTTGGTCTGGCCCAGCCCCTCCCATTGTAACCATTTGGAGAACAAACTACCAGACAGAAGACCTCTCTTTGCCTCTTCTTCTCTCTGTAAATATACCTTTTAAATAAATAAATCTTTATAATAAATAAATAAGACATTGCAGCCTTTCTCTCTCTCTCTCTCTCTCTCTTTCTCTCTCTCATACATGTGCTCTTGCTTCCACATTGTGTGTGTGTGTGTTGTTACATCACTTGTTGGGGAAGCCATGCAATTAGCAACCCTTTGGAGAAAGCTTTATGATGAAGTACTGAAGCGATCTGCTAATAACCGGGAGGGTGCAGAAGGAATTCTCCAATCTCATCCAGTCTAGTCTCTGCTGAAACCTCATGAGAGACCCTGAGGCAGAACCACCCACCTGAGCCAGTCCCAGAAGCTGGAACACAGTCACTGTTGACGGTTTTCAGCTGCTGTGTTTGGGGGACACTTTCTCTCAGGAAACACTTAAAGCACACACTCTTTCTTCCCCAGAGGAAGCTGTTGTTTATCATCTGGCCCTGGATCCAAGCGGGGGAGACACTTTACATTCAGTTACAATATCTCCTCCAATCTCTCCCCTTGCCCTCAAGACCTAGACACTTCTACAGAGAAGGAGCCAGCTGCTGGCTGAATTGAGAGCTTGAGTTTTAGCATCAGTAGCTTACAGGTGAACGTTGTGCCCTGGCTGGTGTGTTTCACAGGAATAAGAAGCGTATCACATTGCTTTGAATGGAGTGGACATGATAAAGCCAAAGGAGAAATCAATGAAGCAGAAAATGAGAGGAACAACTGGGGGAAGAAATCTCTGTAAAGGAGAGAATTTCTGACAAGATGCTGAGCTCACTAAGGCGGATTTTAGTTTCTTTGTAATCACATTTGGTTTGACATTTTCTGTAACTGATGTGTATTACTTTGGGGATTTAAAAAAAAAAAGTGCTTGTTATTTTTTAACCCTAGGCTTAGTCCTTTGTAAAAGTGATTAAAACTATTTTTCCATGCTGTAAGAGGCTTCTACAGTCTGGACACCTGCAAAATTCCTTTTCCTTCACTCTATTTACTTGCATGTCCCTGACCTGCAGCCTGAACCACAG